TTTTTTGGAACCGGGGATTGAACTTAGGAGCTTGTGCTTGTGAGACAGGCGCTGGAACCACTGAGCTAAATCTCTGGCTCCCTTCAGTTTCTTAAGAAAAAGCAATTTGAAAGAAGTGATTTGATGTTTTAGCCACAGGTTTTCCTTTTCTTCTCTTCTCTCCTAATTTACCCAAATGCTTGTTGCTGAACTCAATACCACATTCCTGTTCTTTCCTCAACGGATCGCAACACCAGGTGTGCCCTGTTCTGTGTTCCTCTGCTCTTCCTCAAGTAGGTCTTCCTCTGCCTCTGGGGCTGCCTCGAGGAAGACATGACCCTACATCAGGTGCCAGACAGTGGGAGGTGGGGGGGGCGGCATTGCTGAATTTTCTTTCTTTGGGTCATTAGAAGTTAGTGTCATCTAAAAACATCTGGAATTAACCACTTGTGCTGAGTGAAGGTTAAAGTTTGGGTTCTAGGCATGCCTGGGGCCTGGGTTTAGTCTTCTCCAAAACTGGAAAAAAATTTGCGTTTTACTGACTGGAGAATTAAAAGATCCATGTAGCTAATAATGGCTGGTTGCGGGAAAATAAAGCTTACTACACTAACAAGTAGGTACTCAGTATTTGTTTACTCGCTCCCTAAAATTTGAGGTAAGTATAGAAATTTATTATATTATCATGTAAAATCTCACTGCCTTTCTTGGATTTTTAATTTTTTAAAAATGCACTCTTGCATATGACAGATCTTGTATATGACAGATTTCTACAACTGGTCATTAAGTGTGCACATGAATTACTTACTGCCAAGTTGTCTTGTGTTTTTAAAAAAATTTTTTTGTGTTTATTTTTTAACTAATACATAGAATTGTGCATATTTATGGGGTACTGTGAGATGATGTTTTGATACATGTTTACATTGTGTAATGTTCAAATCTGGGTAAACCTACCTGTTTAACCTGTTTATTCTTTTTGGTGAAAACAAAGTCTTCTAGATTTTTTTTTTTTTAATATACAGTGCGTCATCATTATCTCTAGTCACCCTGCTCTACATCTAGTCAGAACTTCCTTCTCCTGTGTGACCCTGACTTAGTTCCTGTTAATCAACCTTTCCCCAACCCAGCCCCAGTCTCAGCCTCTGCTAACCACCACTCTGCTCTCTTATGTCCATGACATCACCTTTTTTGTTTCACACAAGTGAGATCATGTGGTACTTATCTATCTGTACCTCACATATTTTACTTTATTTAATGACCTCCAGTTCCATTCCTGTTGTCGTACATGATGGGATTTCATCCTTTATATGACTAATATTCTGTTGTATACACATACCACATTTTATCCACTCATCAGTTGGCGGTCACTTAGTCTGTTTCCATTTCTTAGCTGTTGTGAATAGTGCTGCTGTAAATGTGGGAGTGCAGATGTCTCTGGAATAGACTAAGATAGTTTCCTTTGGATACATCTGGTAGTGGAATTGCTGGATCATATGGTAGTTCTATTTTTAATTTTTTGAGGATCCTTCATATTGCTTTGCATAATGGGTCTGCTAATTTACATTCCTACCAACATATGCAAGGGGTTCTTTTCCACCTCTTCACCACACACTTGGTGTCTCCCAGTTGCCTTGTTTACTTGTTTTGAGACAGGGTCTTGGTATGTAATTTAGGCTGGTCTTGAATTCACTATGTAGCTCAGACTGGCCTGGAACTCATAACACTCCTCCTGTCTCAGCTTCCCCAGTGTTGGCATTACAGGCCTGCACCACCACACCTGGCTCCCAGTTGTCTTGTTTTTGAAGGCTGTATAGCAGTGATGGCAAACCTTTTAGAGCTTTCAATGATACAGACAGCTTGCTGCGGCATGTGTGCCATAGGTTCACTGCTCTATAGGTTCTACTTGTCGATGGTCTGTGAAACTGCTTGTTTCTCAACATCTTTTCCTGGTGTGTGACATTATCTGTCTTTAATTTTTTTGTCAATCTAGTAAATAAAAATTGAGTTTCATTTAGAAACATATTGTCATTAAGCATATCTATCTGCTATTTATATTTATAATCACTTGACTATAGTATCATATAGTATACTCTTACAGGGGTTCTTCACATCATGAATATTAATATTTTGTCTTGCATGTTACTGATTTTTTTCCCAGATTGTTGTGGTCTCTTTTGTCTACAGTGTTGTTCTTTCTTATCTTTTCA